TATATAGAAATGCACTAAGAGGCTATCACTGTTATAGTCAAGAAAGTCGTCTTGGCTACGTTTCAAGAACAAATTTCAGAATAGTTTGAATTTACCATGGTTGAACAAATGTCATTCAAATAAGATTCAAGAGTCAAAAACACCTGTTTTTCATTTGCGTGAAGTAGGTTAAAAGAAAGAGATTCTTCTTGAACTATGTATTTCGCGTTTATTTCAGCCGATCAGTTCCGGTCAAGAAATTCGTCTCAAAMAACAAATTGTRCAATAGTTTAAATCTAGCATGGTYACACAGATTGCATCACTATACTTTCAAGAATATTTTGTTCTTCCATTGCATGAAATACGTTGTACTAAGAGATGTTTTGAATAAAAAGATGTATATGCACTCAGCTGTCATTTATTTCTTTGAATTGGTCTTTTTGTATTMTTTGCAACTTTTATTTATAATTTCTTCTGTGTCTGTATCTATTAATAAAAGATTTAATCAATCGCTTAGCTTTGTTTCATGCTATGAAGCTACAAATAGTGATCTCGACATTGACTATTTTCATTACTACTGTTGCTTCTACTAGCTCGCTCCAAGTGTGATATAGATTTAGAAAGTTTCTAACATGGTTCATGTCAAGGTGTTTCTCTTAACTCTGCTCTCATGCCTTGCTGTTCATGGATTTCAAAACCTAGATGTTRAAAAAGATGGTAAGATATTTTGTATTTATAAGTCAACCGACTCAATACGAGGTCTTGCTGGTATGACAGGCGGCAACCTATAAGTTTAGGATCGGGACATGAAACATKAAAAGATTATAGAAGGAGCCGACGGGTCATYTCCTGGGAGAAATATATCTGTTCTTATGTCCCAGTCAGCTGTAGGTATAGAAAAACTGCAYTGAAAATTTATCTTAGAAAGGAAATATAGGAAAAATCCCTCTTCGCTATTGCTCCTTAAGTAATCTTGTTATGATTAACTGATTACATATGTTTACCGGTTCACCTATGGCAAGGCCTGTTCAATATTGCTATCAGGGGCATTTAGGGGAAGGGGGGTCGAAGGGGCCGTGCCTCCTTCCCCCCTTTGCTGAATACAAAGTTGGCAAAAAGACAAAAGAAAAAAGGGAAGTAAAAAAACCTAGCCAAACTCCCTCAAAATTCTGGACTTTACGGCCCATCCTTTATTGGATCCGCCCCTGGCTATSGTTTAATTGGTTGATMAGCGTTTTATTATCAATCTACAGATGSTTGTGCTGATAGGGCAAGTCATGCTCCTGCCAACTGTGCAGCTTGGTTAAAAAAAGGATGGTGCCAGCCAGGAAATGCCCGAAGCTTCATGGTACGAACTGGTTGCAAGAAAACGTGCGGGCTGTGCGAAGGAGGTAAGATACATTTCACACAAYCCTTTGCGTGCCTATACTGGGTTGCCAACGACAAAAACGATTCGAAATGTGGAAGCATTTAAAACGCTTCTTTTTCCTTTCCATGTTCACCAGTAATTATAATAGTTTCTCCGTTTGATTTTATTTTTTTATTGAGGCACTCTTTTCCGATGATCATCGTCACTCTCTCATAGTTTGAATTGCTTTCTATGCACTAGTGTTGAACACCATTCTCTAATAAAAATAAAGTCTATTATTTTGAGATGGTAGCACGTAATAGTCTCTAGACTAATAAACTTGTGGTCCTCTATATATATTCACTCACACTCACTACCTCAACATTCATTATTTTACCACACGACACTCCTCACAGCTAGTTTTTGACTGAGGGAGGAAAACCAGCGGACCTGGAGCAAAACCCTCGGAGCAAGGAAGAGAACCAGCCTACAAACTCAAATCACATATAGTCCCGGACCGGGAATCGAACCAGGACCACAGCGGTGATAGACCGGCGTTTTTAACCGCTCGGCCATCCTTGCTCCCCAAAACTCTCATGAGTTTACCTCACATCTCTTATCTCAATTATCTTTAGCCAGTGGTTGCTTTGATGAGTTTCCTGAGTGCAAGACCCTTCATTACTATTGCAATGGGAAGAAATATGGTCGATTTATGGCAAACAATTGTAAGTTGACATGCGGATTGTGCTAGTGAGGTATGTATATTATTATTAAAAAAAATAATTTTTCCGACGACAGTATGGTATAGTTTTATTGAAAATGGTATTTATTTCGCAAAAGAATACTTGAGTTGTTTTGCGTCAAACCTTTATTTGTAAGGCGTAAAAGTGCTTTTATTAAATTTGATGTAAAGAAAACACGATGGCCAAAGAATCGCTTAAAATGCTCCATGAATGCGATAATGTTGGGACAAACTTCAAATTTATCGTATTCCATACAGGATTACAACTTTTAAAAAATACATAGCATATTCGATAGCTTTTGTGAACATGTACACTTTTTTATGTTTTCTTATATTGATGTACACAGCTATTTGATAAATCCAAAAATATCCTACGAGCTCATGTTTCTTCTTTACTGAAAGGTTGTTCTTTTTACAGCTCGACATGGAAACACGTAAAGGTGATGTTTACTTTGTTGAAGCTATGCAAAAGTACACACTAAATATAATATGAATAAAATTCAGGTCTGAATAGCGTTATATTTGTGTCTTTAGTTGTTTCAGATGCCTATTCCTCGATATATACATACCGTATTAACTCGAATAGACGCCTCCCCCGAATAGACGGAGCCCTCAAATAGACGCCGCACTTAAAGCTCAAAATATTAATAGACGCCGCCCCCGAGTAGACGCAGCCCTCAAATAGACGCCGCACAAATAGACGCCGCCCCCAAATAGACGCCGCACAAATAGACGCCGCCCCCGAGTAGACGCCGCATATGAGTGCGAAAATAATGATACCAGCAATTTTTTTATTTCGAAGTGACTACTTTTTTTGCTCTCAGCAGCTATTAGATTCCGACCACGAGGAGGACATTATCACAAATTGAATCGACAAAATGAGCACGAAATTTATATATTGAGAATCGTTACTGTTTGTTAGTAGAAATATACAATATAAAGTACGGTATTTAGTACTAAATAAAGTGTTTTTCAATAAACGCCGCCCCCGAATAGACGCCGCCCTCGAATAAACGCCGCACCTGGACYGTGAAAAATGAAATAAACGCCGCGGCGTCTATTCGAGTAAATACGGTATAGATAGCTATTTCATCACGTATTGTCCAATAAATTTGAGAATGCCAATTGTCGATCAATTGAGAGATATTGCACGACCGAAAGGAAACATGGGTTTTGTTCATTGATGAAAAAAGAGGAGTTAGTATTATTTATTGGGATGAAGGGTGGGCTACTAAATGTGCATTGAGCCCTATAGAAAAAAAGGACGTCCCTAGTACATCCTTGAATAGGACCAAAAAAATGTATGAACCTTCTTAATAATATACACACTTGTGTGAATTCTGCTGCTCTGATTGGCTGATTATTATATCGTGCGAATAAGAGTCCAGACACCATCACATCTAGCGTGCTCGCTCAGTTACTAGAAAAGAATGATTTTCATTAATTCCTGATTTAAAATATGGTAAAAACAAATACAAATAAAGCATAAAAGTCGACGGATTGAAGTCCACCAAAAGCTTATTTTTCTGTTGAAACATTGGAGTGATTACAACACTCCGCATTGATAATGCGATGTGCAGATATAGATGTTCAGCCACAGCTTGATCGCCTGAGCAGGCGCGTGGCGTCCTTTACGTATATACGCACGTGCGTACTAGTGACAAGGAAATATTAAAATTTTCGGGATTTTTTATATAATTGTGTATGCTTGCTCTCTCGCATCAAGGCTTCGTTATCAGAAAAAAACTCAAAACGCTGGAAATCGCATTTCCAAGAGTTATTATTTCAAAATTTCCTTGGAAGGGCCTCCAGAACTCCATGAATACTCCTGGCTTTAGCGGTCGTTAGCCCCCTATCCATAATATGTGTCTCGGTCCCTGACATGTGCGTACTAGTGTAGCCAAAACGTCCACGCTACGCGCCTGCTGAGAAATCTGGACTGACATATTGACTGGTGTCCAGTATCAACTTAATGTCGTATTCTTGCATTGGTATCTTTATTTATGGATATGTTGTTTTTAGAAAAGTTACAGGATGGACTGAGATCCCTAGTGTACATTTTTTCGACTTGAAGAAAGCAAACTATGGCATTGATTTAGGTGAATGACAGGCAATGTTTTAAGGACGTTCGAGGGCATTGCTACTGCGCACGCTTTCTGCGCACGCCCAAACCGGAAGTTGTCACGAAATTGCATCACGCAAAACAAAGATGGCGACCGCTCTTGTTATGTGTTTGTGTGGTTTTGTACGTACTTTTCTGAACTTCTACTTGTATGCAAAATGTCTTCGTGTTCAAAAAATGAGAGATTTACTACTGCTAAAGAATTGATGAGGCGAAAAAGTGTTGAAAATGCTCTAAAAAGTCGTAGATTGGCAGAAAAAAGTCTCTCGCAATTCAAGATGGCCTGCAAAATCTAAGATTTCGACACGAAATATTTCGACAACGAACCCGGTAACCCCAATTTCTATTTATCTTAAAATAAGGCAACTTGGAAAAAATATAACATATGTGAAATCGGAAAAAACGACATCAGAGGTTTCTGAAATATAGCAGTTTTAGCTGGAAATGACACCTAT